CACCACAATAATCCACAAGTAATCACAGCACTCCAGTCCATCAGTTAACATCTTAAGAAGCCAAAAGCTGCATGTTTGTAAGAAACAAATCCATCATTAACTTTAAATGGTTGCTTCTGGCTAAACTATCAATATAGTCCATAATCTATAATAATGCTTCCTCCAGTGAAAAGGTTCATCTCCTGTTGTCTTTCACATCAAAATCCACACACTTTTTTGTTTTGGACTGTGTAAGTGGTGCTTGATCTGTGCAGACCTCTCCTGATTCAGTCAAGATTAATTCTTCACCGGAGAAAGCAGTATTATGGTTAGAGGACTCATATTTTTAGCCAGAAGCAACAGTTTGAAGTTAAAAACGACATAATGCTTGTTTTGTTTCTTAGAAACATGCAGCTTTTGGCTTTTCAAGACATTAACTGATGGACTGGAGTGGTGTGGATTATTGTGATGCTTTTATCAGCTGTTTGGACTCTCATTCTGACGGCACCCATTCACTGCAGAGCAAGTGATGCAATGCTGCATATCTCCGAATCTGATGAAGAAGCAAACTCATCTACATCTCGGATGGCCTGCGGGTGAGTAATTGCGAAGTATTTCATGGTACTAATTGTACTGCTCTTAATTTATGCCGAAAAGTATGGAAACGCTTGCGTTACAGTATGTTTAATCTATTCAGAATCATTATTGAGAGTATTAGGAATTACAAACAAACTCAAAAATAAAATATCTGAATCCTTTGTAATGCAAATATGGGGGAAAATATGCTTCATTGTCAGAAAAATAATGTCACCGTGTGACTCGAGAGAACATTTTCTGACTTTCCTCAAACAGTGACTCTGTCATCTTTCTTATCTGATTGCTGTGCTGTGAATAATGCCTAGAGAAGCACTCGTGCCACTGAATGAATGGAGAGAGAGAGCGAGAGAGAGAGGCCTCTGCGTGGGATGTAGCACGTTGTCCTTGAGCTCATTATGCTTGATGTGATGTCTGTAATACTGAAGAGATCGACTGTAGCTCAGTTCTTTCATTTTGAAATAAGCCAAGGTAAATTTATTGCAAATAACCACTTTAGTGATCTAATGTGTACGAATGAAAGCACAGTTTTAACCAGGAATTCATCAATGCTAGACACAGCCTGGAAAATATAATGAAGCCTTTGTCCCAGTCAGGCAGTGATTCAGGCGTGATTTCATGGGTGCCGGAGCTTAGCATAACTCCATTCAGAGCCTTTTGACTGGTGCGCAGTGATCTGGAATGATGTAAGTGGCCTTGCTCTCGGTTAGAGCTGCTCGTGTTCAGCGGCGAGGTGAAGGTCGTTTCAGAAAGTATATCCTTTGGCTTTAAAGCGGTTCACTGTTGAACGTGAAGCTATCCTGAGCCAAATTTTAGCTCGTTCTGACTAGCATTAATTATTTTATTACTGGTAGTAATATTTCATTCAAGTTTATGTAAATAATGTTGAATGAGTTGTGAATTCTTCATTTTATGGTCTCGGTATTATCTGTCCGTCACAAATGTAGGCTGTGTTCGAGAAAGCAAAATAATAGTTCTCTTTGTTTTGCCGACTAATTTATAGGGTCATTGTTTGACCTGTGGGATGTTTCTTTTCTTCATTTCTCGGCCATTATGCAGGTTCCCACGGTCAGCCTCAACATTAACCCGCCTCAACTGACTGCAAGTGTCACGGAAAACATGCTTGTAATCTAATGGGTTGCTTTTTTAATGTCAAAAAGCTTATCTGGCTGGGAAATGATCATTTATTAACGGTTCCACAGTAACCCTTTCAAATCAAATGGAAAATTAAATCATTGAAATAAGGCACAGATGGCATTGTTTCCTGGTATTTTAGTCAAACAAACAACAAATGTAACATTCAGAATGATGTCATGTCTGTAATTCCATGCTCCAACATTCTAAAGAACATTCTAAAGAATGTCTGTAAACAGAACTTTAAATAGCATTTCAAACCAAGTATGATATCTATACAGTTTTATTCATTGAGAATAGTTAATTCATTGTCCACACAGCACAGTTATACTGATAACGACCCAGAGAAACTAACAATATCAGAGATGGTCTTATCCTTGAAGCTTTGACAATATCATTGGAATCACTTTTTTTCCAGCTGATGACTGACAACAACAACAACAACATGTCTTTTAGCATTTGTTGGCTCAGGCTAAACAAGCCTTAAGAAGCTGAACAATTTAATAAAGGTAATCATTTGACAGCAATCTGAAGGGAGTGATTGGAAGCCATTCATTTTCAATAAAAGCTGGCAATTTGAGGTGATGTTGCAAAATAATATATTTAATTTTTAAATAAAATATTTATGCTGTTGTTTTCCCACAGTGACGTCACTTCCTGCGAGATGATATCATTATGATATTTAAAAAAAAAAAAATCTTTCCATTCAGCATTCCAATTAAAAACATTACTTTTTCTTCACGTTTCGCAGATTTAGGAGCTAGTTTTAGTGCTAAAATGCTTTGTGAAATACTCTTAGAGCAAAAATGTAGGAGTCCTAAATTTAGGATTGACACGCCCATTATTTTTAAGATTTTCTCCTAAATCGGCGAGCTACACTCTTCAAAATAAAGGTGCTTCACGATGCCATAGAAGAACCTTTTTGTCTAAATGGTTCCATAAAGAACCTTCAACATCTGAAGAACCTTTCTGTTTCACAAAAGCTTCTTTGTGGTGAAAGAAGGTTCTTCAGATTACAAAAAGGTAAGAGATGGTTCTTTAAAGAACCTTTGACTGAATGGTTCTTTGTGGAACCAAAAATGGTTCTTCTATGGCATCGCTTGAAGCACCTTTTGAAGCACCTTTATTTTTAAGAGTGTATGAGCTACTTTTAGCTTTAAGATGTTTTGTGAATACAGGCACTGAAGGCTACAGAGAACGATTCGGACTGCTGAAAGGATTATTGGTGCCCCCCTGCCCACCCTCCAAGAACTGTATACATCCAGAGTGAGGAACAGGGCTCAGAAAATCACTCTGGACCCCTCACATCCAAGCCATCTCCTTTTTGAACTGTTGCCCTCTGGTTGGTGCTACAGAGCACAGAACACCAGCACAGCCAGGCACAAGAACAGTTTCTTCCCCCAGGCAATCTACCTCATGAACAGTTAATGTTCTCCCATTGTGCAATAACCTTCTACTTATTTATCACCCTGCATCCTAGTACATCCCTACAACTTTATTTTTTATTCTATTCATAGTCTATTTTATCCATAGCACATCTGTACATATTTAGGCTATTCATTTTTTTTTGTGGTTTATTTATATTTATACATACGTGTACTTTATTCACATCTTATTTGTATTCTCTGTGTGTTGTTGTTGTCTCTGTGCACTTGAAGCTCGAGACACTAAATCTAATTCCTTGTATGTGCAAACATACTTGGCAATAAAGCTCTTTCTGACTTCAAAGCACCATAATATTGTCCATCTTTAAAAGCACTTATTTTAATATTTTATTCAAAATACTAAGACATGCATGATTGGGACAGTGAATGTAGGCCTACGTTTATTCATCATTCATTATAAGCAGCTTTTTCCCGGACATGTCCTGGCCTGGATTTCTAAAACGTCCGGGTTTTGTCTTTGTTTTTATCTTAACGTTCTCAACAGTTCTCATACATTATAGTTAGTGCTGTCAGAGCAAAAAGTTTGTGCTCACATAATATATGTGTGTGTAGTGTGTATATTTATTATGCATATACACACACACACACACATGCATGTATATATTTAAGAAAAATATGTTATATTTATATATGAAATAGCCTATATATATATATATATATAAATGATATGAATATATACACCTGACACTGCACACACATTATGTGAACAAAAACTTTTATTCTGGATGCGATTAATCGCGATTAATCGTTCGACAGCACTAAATATTATGTTTATGTATTTGCATTACTTTGGCCTTTACTTTTTATAATGTACATCAGGCTACCTGAGCGCTATTGGTCAAAATAGCCTACTTTTCAGCCATTATAGCTACTATAAACAAGTGTGACAACAATGGGAAAACACGGAGGGAAACCCAGGTCAGGAGACGTCGGGGAAAAGAGTACTTAGCCTAAACAAATGTTCTGCACAACAGTAAAGCTTATAAATATGTTTTTTAATCTATTTATATAGGCTACTCAGTTGTAGACCCTGAACTCCCCTAAAGCAGAGTTGCCAAGTCCGCGTATTATACGCAACATCGGGCTTCTTTTTTTGTAAAGTTGCGTGAAAAGGTCGCGGGTTGCGGTTTTTTGTGGCTTATTTTAAAATATATGCTTGCTTGTTAGGGAAATCTGACAAGCAACTTTTCATTTATGTTCACTGTATTCTCCAATGCATTGATTGGCACTCTGTCTGCTCGCAGTTGATAGCCAATCAGTGCAAAAATATAAGTGCTGTAGCATAATTTGCCAAATATCTCACGCGCCTTTCTTCAATTCTAAAAATCAGGTTCAAAAAGAAGGCGCGTGAAGCTGTAATCCAAGCGATAAAAGTAGTAGACGTAGAGAAGTGGGATGACATTTTTTCCTTTATACATTTTTTACAACGTTTTTGTAATGTATTAATTATCACGGGCTGCAATAATAATAAAAAAACAAAACAAGCAGGCCTATACTAATACTAAGAGTAGCCTATATTTGGTTCGAATGGACAATATTTTACTAGGCTATAAATATGTGGCTTGTGTTTTTCTCCATCTATTCTGCTTACAGGTCACTGGAGATGAGTTTTGTTCCTGCTTTGTTGCAGTTTTTGTAAAATAACTTATTGCTTTTCAGATAAAAGGGTAGTTTCGGTTTAATATGCTGCAGGCTAATTTATTGGTATTAAATAATTGATAATAAATAATATTGTTGATAATAAATTATCAAAAAATATCGGGCTTGTTTTTGAAGGTTGCTGCTTATTTGTCTCGCGAGAGTTGGCAACAGTGCCCTAAAGTCATTAGCCGTGTTTCTTCTCTTTTGGCAATAAAATCCAAACCATATCTTGAGCTTGAATTACGCAGAGAATCAAACAGCGGAGACGCGTAAAATCTAAATATGTGAAAACGTACTACGTATATTAACATTGTGTGGATATCTACACCGGCTTTTCTGAAAAAAAAAAAAAAAAAAAAAATTTTTTTTGATCGCCTTGATTGCGCACACCTGTGTGTCAGGTAAGGCCGACGGAAGCGCGTTTGGACGCAGACTCCGAAGTCTTCTCCGGACTGTATTTATTATGGCGACGCCGCTTTTTAAACCTGGTGCGCGTTGTTCCTTTATGATTCTCGCGATTATCGGCCTGTCATTTACATCATGCTACAACTTGGAAAACGAGTCTGTGGAACCCGACTTGTCCCTGCACCATGGGAATATCCTGAGCCCTTTGCTGAAGGCTTTGTCGGAGCAGAACCCGTGGGGAGATTTCACACCACGAGCCAAACCCGACTCCAGGTATGTGCGTTACATGAAGAGACTGTACAAACTATCATCCAAACCGGACAGGAGTCAAGAAGCCTCGCACCTGTACAACACTGCCCGTCTGATCACGCCTCGAGAGGAGTGTCTCGAGCAAAACCGAGGTATAAACCTACTTCTGATGACTGCTATCTGAACCGGAGATGTTTGCATGCTGTTTATATAAATGCGGTTGCTTTAAACCCATTAGATTATGTTGTTTCAGGATTTGTGTTCTATGGCATACTTTGCTATTCTGTCCTTACTGTTTGTGAAATGAACTGTTTACAGGATGCAAGTTATCTGTATTCATGCAATACTTCAGGATTTCCCAAAATATTAAACACACTGCATAAAATACAGTTAAAGTATTTCACACGCTATACTGAATATCAGCAGCAAGTGTGAGATTGTTTTTATACTACTCTTCAGTTTATGAATATATTAGGCTTTAGGCAAAATGTATTAAAAATGCAAAAAGAAAAAAAAATGTTTATGAGAAGATAATTAGACATTTCCGATTCTGATATATTTTTTCTAGCATTATAACAGAACTTTCAAAGGTATCTAGTATGATAAAACAGCGCTGCTTTACCCCACACACGCACGACCGGAAGCAGCGGAAGCGCTCGACTGTGGCATAATAAAAGCTCAGCTGCTTGAATCAACATGAACATTGTGTCACCATTACTCGCCTTCATTTTTGAGTGAACTAACTTTTAAGGATTGTGGGTAGTGTCATTCTTCAGCGGCTACTCAATTATTATACACATTTTTAAATGTCTTTTTGTCTTGAAAGTGTCCTGTGATTGTTTTCAGTTGAGATTCAGAGCCAGATTACAGCTGGTACAATGACTTCAGAAAGATGGCAGCAGCATTATATTATTTTTACACAGCGATTGGTTGGTCTATAAGTAAAATCTCTTGACTTTAGCAATCTTTGTTGCATTATAAGGCAAAGGTGACAGTTCAAAAATGGAAATAATGTGCAGAATCTTATCAATGGACTACTGAGAGCAAGTTGATGTGCCTTGATCTTTTCAGTGCGTTTTTAACACTCAGACAGGTATGTTCTGTACAATTGTTTTGATCGAGAGAAACAACCTACATCTACTGAAAATGGGTATTATCCAACGATCTGGACCTGGATCCGCATTGAAATCCCTCTGAAATATCTATTGAATGATACAGGGTCTTAAAAGGATTTTCTTTACAAAAGAAAAATTTATGAAGAACCATAATTTAAAATTATATTGATATATCTTTTAATATTTCTTCAGTTACAGGCATGTAAACTTCGGAGAATGAATGAAAAGTGTTTTTCCCCATTTTTTGATTGATCACCATTGGCATGTAATGCAACAAAGATTGCAAAAGTCAACAGATTTTACTGATTTACATCTTTCTGAAGTCATTTTTTCCATCCTGTAATTTGTCTCCGAATCTCAGATGAAAATTGCCATTTTGACTCTTCTCTACAAAACAGTGGATTACTCCGTAAATATACATCCATGACGCTTCATATTTTGGCTTTCCTCTTCATTTATGTATTTATTTAATCAGAAGAAGTAAGTGTTTACATAAATGTTTAACAAAATCTAAAATTTGAGCCGGGCAGCTCAGGGGTCTGTTTCATAAAACAAGTTCAAGCCAGGTTTACTTCAGTTAGTCTGATTTATTGTCAGTTGATTCATCAGGGCCGGTTGCATAAACTGTTTAGACTAGTCTTAGACAGTTAGTCATCTGAATTTTTTTTGTTTGGCAGCTGCTAGTTCTTAAGACACTTAACACGGTGGCTAAGTTGTTCAAAATAAGTCAGACTAACTGAAATAAGCCTGACTTATTTGGTAAACTTGTTTTATGGAACAGGCCCCTGGTTGAGTTGACACAAAAATGACGGAATTTCATCCCAAACAAACTGCAGTCAAACAATCACAAGTCACTCTCAAGCACTAAATAAACACCGTATATAACTGAGGTCAAGCGAAGGATGTGTTCCTCAATGTTGCTATGTGTTATCTTGGCAGAGTTCTTCATGCAGGATATTTCCTACAGTCTGAATCGAGTGAGGTCTCAGGAGCAGCTGCTGAAGTCGGTCCTGCTTTACTCTTTCGACCACAACCACATCGCCCCCTTCACGTCGCTCTGCTATCTCGACGTGAAAGAACAGAAGCCCTCGAAGGACCAGATGTGTTCTCCGCACTTCGGCACGCAGCAGTCGGTGCCGCTTCTCAGCTTCCGCGTCCACACCGAGAGAAGGGTCCGCCGCCGCTGGGTGGAGGTCGACGTGACCTCGTTCCTCCATCCTCTCATTCAAGCCCATAAGCAAGACATCCATCTGCTGATCAACCTGACCTGCGTTGAAGACATGATCCCCAGACCCGGAGGCCGGGTTCACAAGAGCCCAGTGGAGTTAACTCACAGATCCCCATCTCTTCTCCTGTACCTTAATGACACCAGCGAGGTTGCGTACCAGAGAAGAGCCTCACGAGGTAGGATTGTAGACCTGACATCAAACCACTGGGATGGAAAGTCCACATGGTGGGATTCGATTTCACGAAAGAGACGAGGCACTCTAAAGAGCACCAGTTCGCCGGAAACCAGCGCGCCGAAACTCGTCCCCATATACGACTTCCCCACAGACGACTGTGACCTGTATGATTTCAAAGTGAGCTTCAGTCAGCTCAAACTGGACCATTGGATCATAGCGCCTCACAAATACAACCCGAGGTACTGTAAGGGATCTTGTCCGAGGGCTGTGGGATATATTTATGGGTCTCCGGTGCACACGATGGTTCAGAACATCATTTACGAGAAGCTAGACTCCTCTGTGCCTAGACCTTCATGTGTGCCTTCAGAATATAATCCGTTAAGTGTTTTGACCATTGAGAACGACGGCTCCATTGCTTACAAGGAGTACGAGGAGATGATCGCTATCAGATGCACCTGTCGATAAGATTCCGGGGGTTTTTTTTGTGTGATGCATTGCTTTGTAAAACACTGACCTGTTTTTTTTTTTTTGCACTGGCCATTCTTATAATGAAGATGATTAATGACCACATGAATTGGATAATTTGCTGCAATGTTTTGTTTAACATTACCTTTTTATCTGATTCATTAATGCTTAGAATATTCAAATCAATTATGCAATTGAATTATTTTGGTGTTTTTTTTCCCCTTCTGTACAATAGTTATATATGGGGGTATTTAATTGGCTTAAAGGATATCTTTTTCTTTAATGAGCAGTTGTGTTATTTTAAGTTCGGTTCTTTCAGTTGGTGGTCTTGTCTCGCACTTTCTATTCCTTAAACATAAATGACAGAATTTTAAATCTTCTAGTTCTGGACAGAATATATATATAAAAAAAGTGTACTTCTATTGTGTTATCAGAACACTTTTACATTGTATTTTAAAACCAGGGAATTGCAGACGGTTGTCTCATGGGCAACCTCTCTCTTCTTGATGTCCAGAAAATAAGTTGCCTTAACTGTGGGCAACTTGATATTGTGTGTATTAAGAACGTAATAGATGAGGATGTGTGTCACATGACTATTTATATAATTTGTGTCTGTGTAAATTAGTCGGGCTGGCTTTGGTTTCACAAAAGAAAAAGAAAAAATCCCAAATGAAAATATAAAATAAAAACAAATTCAGCAAACAAACTGTATTATTTTTTTTTTTTATCAAACATTGTTGGCATTGTAATTTTGTAGTTTAGAGAAAAGGTTTGAAGTCTAAGAGAGTCTTAAGAACATTTCTTTATAGTCAACTTTAACAGGACTAAAGTGTATGATGCATGAAGAATTGATTTTGTTTATTAAATATCGATTGGAGCACTGGACACAAATGATAAAGTTTTTGATAAAATGTCATTTTAAAGTCAGCGAAACAGGCGTTTCGCTCCTCACTTGGGATACGTGTGGTGCAGATGTGTAGAAAAGTATGCAAATACTATTCTGTTTAAATAATCTCTTCAGACCCATGAGGCCAAGCTGCCTTTCTCCTGCCAAGACAAAATAAATAATACATTATATGTAACACAAGATATGATAATTGAGACTTGGACAACTTTAAATATTCTGGACTCTAAGGTGAGCTTCTCTAAAAACACCGATTGCATTTTAAAGAGATGAAGAAAATATAGCATGTACCATGTGCTTTATTTAAACGCGTTACAGTACGTTTAGTTCTATTTGATCTCTGTCGTTTTCAGCAGACGCTCTGGCTGCAGACTTTTATTTTAAAGCACGGCGCTTCCGGAAGTTGTTGAGTTAAGAGTCCCGGCTGCATCCTGTTTATATATGTATGTGTACTGTTTATTTATTATGTATATATAAATACACACACAGTATATATTTTGAAAATATTTACATGTATATACATTTATATTTTATATTATATATAATATAAAATATAAATGTATATACATGTAAATATTTTCAAAATATATACTGTGTGTGTATTTATATATACATAATAAATAAACAGTACACATACATATATAAACAGAAACTTATTTTGGATGCGATTAATCGCGATTAATCGCATCCAAAATAAGTTTCTGTTTATATATGTATGTGTACTGTTTATTTATTATGTATATATAAATACACACACAGTATATATTTTGAAAATATTTACATGTATATACATTTATATTTTATATTATATATAATATATACACATATTTTTCTTAAATGTATACATGCATGTTTTTGTATTTATATATAAATATACACAGTACACACACATATAGTATGTTAACAAAAACTTTTATTTTGGATGCGATTAATCGTTTGACAGCCCTGGATTAATCACGATTAATCGCATTCAAAATAAAAGTTAGTGTTTACATAAAATATGTGTGTGTACTGTGTATATTTATTATGTATATATAAACACAC